GAACGGAAGCAGGACACTGCCGATCGGTTCGATCACATCACCCGAGAAGCTTAGGAGGGGGGTGATATCTTTGTTCAGATGCTGAGGATCTATGCCGAGGGCATTAAAAGCGTCGGCGAATAGTACATTGACAGAACTGCCGGTGTCTATGAGGATTCGGCCCACATCGAAATCCGAAATATCGGCTCGTATGATTATGGGATCGGAGTGAGGGAAGATGATGCCTCATTCTTCCTCTTCAGAGAAGGTAATAGGTTCCCAACCGATTCGCCGGGTCTTGTCGTTGCGTCCTCCCGCTACGCTGAGGATCTGGGGATGCCGAACGGCACGAACATAGTTTTTGACGGATCGGTTGCTGGTTTCAACGATGGGTGCCCCTCCACTGATTATATTAATCTGCCGATTCGAGGGTTAATCCAAAGTTGTTTTGGTGTTTAGGTACTGATCCAGCTTGCCTTCGTTGATGAGGCGTTCGACTATCTTTCGAAGGGCGATGCACGATTATGTATCGTGGCCATTGTACTGGTGGTATCGGCAGAATACACCGGTGTCTTTCTCGTTCTGCCGAGGAAGCTTTCGGTTGTTCGGCTTCGGGATCATCTCACCTTCTGTCAGGAGGACATGCTAGTAAGTGGTGTTGAGTAAGGTGAAAATTTCCTCTGACCGATTCTTCTTCGGATCTCCGAAGTCGCTTCGCCTGCTGGAGTCCTTGCCCCTTTTGTTGCTGTCTTGCCGATCTCGGAAGTGGTCTTTCCGTTTGTTTCGAGCCTCGTAAGGAGCAGAGGCTGGGGGTGCCGTTCGGTAGGGGGCCTGACTGACAGTCTGATTTGCCGGAAATCGGTCATGGCTCTGTGTCGAAGGCCGATCGGCCGTTGTTGTTTTGCTTGGTGGAGCCGAAGTCGATCCCTTGGAGTTGAAATGTTCGACCTTGGCGTGGATAGCTGCCTGCTTCATCAGCTTGGTGTAGGTGGTCCAGTTGCTGCTGTGGACCAGATAGCGAAACTGAGACGATCGAAGGCCGCTTTTGAAGGCACCGAAGGCTGCCCTATCGTCAGTTTCTGGACATCGGGAATATTCGTTCGTGGCTGAACCTGGCCTCATATTCCCTTAGGGGCTCATCGTCTTGTTGCCGAACGGTATAGAGGTCATCGACAGAATACAGGCGATCGGTTTGAATCATAAAATGGTTGAGGAATGTTTGCTTCAACTGATCGAATGAGTCAACCGTACCTGGTTCCAATCGGTAGAACCAGTTCAGAGCAGCTCCGGTCAGGATGGAGGGGAATAGTAAACATTGGCCTTCGTTCGTTAGCCCTTTGCAACCCAAAGCTGACTGGAAGGTATGAATGTGAGTAACACGGTCTTCCACCCTCGAATAGAATGATATTCGTAGTGCTTGGACCTCTTTTTCGTGTCTAAACGTTCGAATGGTCCTGGTTGTACTTTTCCCCATGTTGGTGTCCGAGCCTGGTTCTGTTCCTCCTCAATGCGGTTCATCTTCTGGAGGAGGAGACGGATGGTAGGATCGGTAGAGGGAAGATCGTCACCGAAGGGTTCCCTCGTCTCCTTCCCTGTGCCCCGCCCAGAGTGGTGGCCCTGAACATCCTGGCCTGCCGTTCGGCTCGAGCTTCTCTCATGGCCTCCGGTATGCTGATCGTCTTCCCGATTCGTTCGATGGCTATGGCGCCCTTTTGAATGTCCTGCCGATCGGTGGGAGATCGTGGTCCCCGGTGAAGTTGGAACATAGTCTGATTCGTTCGTTTCTTCCAGACCGATGCGTCGTACCTTCGGCGTACGGGGGATTTTGGTCCAAGTGCCTCTAGACGTCGATCGTTGAGTTTTGCCTAGATCGGGATGGGCGAAGGCTGTCGCTCTTTGCGCCGATCGTTGATCCTATCACGGCAATCGGAGTAAACTTGATATTCCGGATGATGCTCTTTTGGGGAGGGCACGAACAGCCTTCGGGAGGCAGATGGCCTGCCTGCGGCTTGCTGTTTCCCTCTATCCTGGGCATTGGACTTCCGCACGCTTTTAAACGACTTCTCCTGCATAAGCTGCATGGTTCGTTTTAGACCGTTATGCAATTGGGTAGAGTGTGTTTGTTGATCATGCAGTTGCCTTTGGGTGTCATCCAGTTTTGAGGCGAGGATATCGTTGTGCTCATGCATTCTCGCCATTTCCTGCTGTAGAGTCTCCATGCGAGCCTTCGGGGTGTTTGGCTAGGCAGGGGTTTCTGTTCGTGGCGTCCGAAGCAAAGGAGCTAGACTTGGCTCACCATCGATGCCGAGGATGGGGCCATCGGCAGGGAGGGCCGAAGATAGATTCATTTTTTGGTCTCAGAGCTTTTGAGATATGGGTTAATCGATAAGCGATTCCCACAGATGGCGCCAATCTGTTGGCACTAAAACTTGAACAGATAGAGATGAGTGCAACTTACGAGTGATGTGGACGATCTTTAGAGATCGATTGAGTGCTAGATGCTGATCCTTCCTGTCCTTGGATGCAGATCATGAATAGAAGGAAGCCAAGACTCGTAAGGTCTATGGAACCGGTGTGAAACCAACCTAAGACCCTCCGATGCCGAAGTAAGTTTGTTTTCTAATAGCTTTTGCTGTTGACAATATATTAGTATAAAAGTCAAGCTGAAAAGTCTTATCCTTGTATTGTAGTGAATGGCCTATTTATAGAGGGCATTTTGTATGCTCTTAGTACTTAATTTCGATGTGGGACTCGTGGGAGGGCCCTATGAGGTTGACACGAGTCTGTAGATATTTCGGTCGGGTGCCTCGAGGTTGATTATGCAGAATCGGTAGGGGATACCGATTGTAGACAATGCTGGGTCTGTAGCGACCGTTTGCTGCTTTGAGACAATATCATCGGTAGCCGATGCTGATTGTTCGGAGCCTTGGGCACTTGGGTAGTTTCTCTGATCCACGTGTCATTGGATGAGTGGAGGGTCAGATATGGTACAAACAGAGGAGAAAGGGGGGAAGGGAGGAAATGAGGAACAAGGGAGGCAAGAAGGGGAGGGGAGAAGGGTCGGTGACCACTTCCCCCCCTAGCAGCGCTAGAAGAGAGGGGGCTAGGGTTAGGGGAAGTTTGAGAGCTGAACTGCTATTTAATCGTGGCATATGGATTTAGGGTTTAGTCAATTGGGAAAAAGTTCAAAGAGTCATAAAGGGCACAAATAAGTTTTCTAATGAATCAACTCATTCTATCAGTGATTCTTGTCTGCACTGTTGGAAAAACATTCTATCAGTGACTAATTAAATAATATATATTTAACATAAATTTAAATATACCAAACGAATTTAATATAGCAACTGTTAATATAAATTAACAGATAAATATGATTTACAGAAAAGAAAAATGTAATCAAATTCATTGACTGGTATATGAGATAGAGGCTTGCAGATTCATGCAATGTCCTAAAGAAAGTATTTCACCCATTCTCGTTGCTTGAAATTCTATAGGTGATTGCCTCTTTTGAGTCAACAATTTGTATTCTAAGTCCTAGCCCTAGGACTTAGAATTTAGCGAACTTGTATATTTCCCTCTCTTCAAGAATATGAATGTATGTGCATCTTAATGCTTGTGTGCTTTTGGGGCTATTCTAATTTAAATAGGCCTTTGAAACCTTTTCAAAAAAGATTACAACTTACAACGGTTAAAAAGAGTATTTTAAAATAAAATGAATTTAATTAATTATTTAATTCGAATGTGAGACTCAAGTTCATAACAAGAATGCGTCCTCCGGCTTTCCAATGATTGAATAAAAAGAGATAGAGTTTTGACCTCTAGGGAGGCAATGAAATTTGACAGTTTTTGTTTTTGGACAGGAAGGAAAAGTCCCAGCTGACATCCTGAGCTCTACAACTACCAGTGTGGCCTTTTCAAGTTCTGTATTTCATTCAAACTCCAACATGCATTAATTCACAATGCAAATTTTGGCCAATATACTTTGAATGTAAGTTCTTTAATCAATTAAACTGTTGTGTCTTGCTTAATTGATACAAGAACTCAAGAAACTTGAGCTTTATACTTCCAAGCATGTAAAAGAAAGAAAATACTTGATCATGGCATGCTTGTAATACACATTAAGATGCAAATAAGATAAGAAGACAATACGAGTGATTTATAGATTTTGGTTTCGAGGTTTTTCCCTTCCTGGTTGATGTATTATTTAGCTTTATAACCTTTGGTTTGGTACATATGCATACTTTTTATGTTTAATGCAATCTAAGTTACTGCATAGTGTTTTATCTGTCCTTGAGATCTTTTTTTATTTTTTTGATACTAGCGATATTAAGAGAGAGGGGAATCGAATTTAATACCTCGGATGCAAGAGTAAATGTCTTGAACTACAAACCCCTTACTCTCCAAGCAATTAATGGCATCAATTGTAGAAATTGTAATCGACTCATGTTCAGTTTGGATTTCCAGCAGTTGATCAGGGTGACTCATAGAAACACAATTGAGCAAACTAGCATCCACATCTAGTTCTATCTTGGAGTCTCTAAGCAACTTGTGTAAATTAATTAGATTTATATGCACCGTTTGGTCCTAGTGGGTTTTGAAAATTCAAACAATATTTACAGCAGATTTTCATGCGCCCTTCTTGGTTGGACTTTTGCCCTCTTCATTGATATCATATATTCACAGCAGATTTTTAAGAATATCATATACATTCATTGATGTGAACGTCATATTATTCAAGAATATAAAAAAGAAAGTATGACAGTGTCTTCACCATAGAGGAAGATATTGTACAAATATATATATATATATATATTTGTATACATTTGATAAGAGGCATAAAAGGGAGATTAGATTAGATATAAAATTTACACGGAAAGAAAGCAGACAAGCAAATGAAATAAACACAGAGAAAAAGAGCACGGAACCTCTTTTATCTCATAGCTAGCTACATTCTATATAATTAACATAGCTTTTTATTTCTTAATGTTGAGGTTAATTAGTTAAAGCCTTTTTTTCATGAACTCTTTTCCCGATCTACCTTGACGTGTGACAAATTCAGTAGCGATTTCATGTGAAGTATTTTTCTGCTAAAAGGCATGAACCAGCAGAGCTGGCGCTGCTGAAACTTGAACGTTTGGTTTGATTTCTTCATTCTCCTCCTCTTCATCTTCCTCTGCTTCCCACATGAAGCTAGCGTAGGACCCCAACACCATGCTGCATATACACATTCATAATATAGTTATATATTAAGAAAAGTATTGACTTGTAATTTTAATTTTGAGTTTCCAGTCTGATCATGGGATATATGTTTGGTTGACAAGAAAACTACGTTCAACAAAAAGAAAAAGTTTCCAAATCGAACAAAATTTCTTGCTCTTTGTTCAATCAAACTCGGCTATGCAAAAACGAGTAATGTTACAAACATCAAATTAAATCTCAAAATTTTGGATCTAACTAACAATTGATGTGATTGTATTTCATTTTTATTAGGGAGATTCACTATTATATCCAATATAAAGACTCAAATTATAAAAATACCCTATATGAAATGGACTTGGTAGTAATCTGCGATAATGTATCGATATCATTGTCGTCAACAAGATCTACCAACATCTTAACAGAGTCTAGACTGGCTCGAAAATAAAACTTCTTTTTTTTTTTCTTTTTTTGATAAAAGTAAGAGTCTAGACTCGAACTTGGGTGCAACGGTACGGGCACACTACCCAGGTCAGGCCAACCGGGCAAACCCGCGTTTGCATGTAACTTGTATATTTTTAAAAACCAAGCAAAGATAGATAAAATAACATACCAATCGTCAGGGGAAGCAGAAACGGCCTGATCAAAGTAAGACTTAGCTCTCTCCTCGTCTCTGTGCGTCTCCCAGATCAGCTTTGCGTACAGCGACAACAAGTCGCCATCTCCAGGGCTCGCCAATATGGCTCTGCAATAGCACTCTTCAGCTCCCACCACATCATTCTCCACCTTCAATCACCCAATTTCACATAAAATCGAAAGTCAAATTTCATTTCCTCGCTAATTTTATTACCACAAAACTATAATTAATTTAATTAATTACCTCATGCAAGAATTTTCCGTAGTTTCTCAGAAGCAGAGGATCACCGGGATTTGACTTTAGCATTTCCTGATAATAGTCTCCGATCTTTTTCTGCTCGCCTTCGTCGACGTTGGACAAAGCGTTGACTCCACGATCTCCGCCGGGAAACCGCAGCTCCTCCGCCGGAAAAGAGTTCGATTTCGCGGCAATATCGGTATCCGATCGGGGAATGTCGCTATCCGACAGAGCTCTCCGGAAAATTTTATCTCGCCGGCGATAGACGTTGAAATGAAGAGAGATCCTTGGAGATCCGACGGTGCTCCTCGCGCCGGAGAAAACGCTGGACAGCGAGTCGTTTCGGGAGAGGGACACTCTGGGCGAACCGGGCAAGGTCGGCGACTGGGCCGAAATCGAACCGGTTTGGATCATTACAGCTTCCATAACTGCTTAATGAAGCTTTTGTTTTGCTTACTTTTTCAGTGTTGAGCAAAGTGAGTTTATAATTTCTGCTTTTGCGTGGAGTTCCGTGAAGGCGTATATATAGTTCGTGTTGTGCCGTTAGATGCGCTGACGGAGTTGACTTGGGGTCCTACGAGATGAGGACACGTGTGGTTGTGCACGTGAGGGTGGCTAGTGAGTAGGCAACTCCGATGGAATAGGCGGGAAGAGCGTGATCGGGTAAAATGAACGAAACTAAGCGGTGTGTCAAGTCTCAAGTGCCTAGTGCAGGTGTCGGGACAAATCTTGTGGGTCCCATTTGTACGGACTTAAACCATTTTTTTCTTGTCCAAACCGGCTTACTCAAATGATATGCCATGTTGAAAATCTAAGCAGATGATTCGAATTCATTACGTTATCAAATAATACTGCAATTTAGTAACGCAGCAATTTGGTGTTTGTAGCAGTTTAAAAGTTAAATTTTTTTGGTTTATTTTCTTTTTGATTCACAAGTTAATCGCTATATTTACGCAGCTAATTTTTGCATGAATCTGCAAGCCAAGAACTAATATAAGTATCACTTAACCAAGGGCATGTTCGAATATGAGTATCAGTTAAATTAGGAGGGAGATTCGTATGTTTACGAATATAAGTATCACTTAACCAAGAATTAATTGATGCAAATTTACTGTGTATTGAGAGAAACAAAGTAAACCATGCATTGATTTTTAATCGATGAGATCCCAATGGCAACGGGTTACGGGACAGAGACAGGAATCCCATCCTAGATTGTCCACCTCTATAATGAAAAGTAACTGAAATACCACGTTAGGAATGGTTGAGGCCGCATACGGTTTGGCCGCATACGGTTTGGCATAGTTTCTGTGTTCCCATCCCATCCCCTGGGCCATGCTGTTTTAGTAAAGAGACAAACCACTAAATTAAAAAGGCACTTTCTCAAATTTATTAAAATTAAAAAAGTTAACAAAGCAACGGAGTCTATTCTAGCAAAAAATAATTTTGATTTGCAGATCAGCGGTCATAGTTCGAACTCTATGAAATCTTGATAATGTATGTGTGAAAAACCTCATTTTTCATGTAATTTAAACTATCGCTTGTAAACCTTGTATTAAAAAATTTATATGAAAAAAAAAAGAAGGATGGGTTTGCTTCTCTAACCTGATACCGTAATTTGTTCGCAAGAAATAGGGATCCACCCCCCTGTGCCCTTTATTTTTCTGTCTCTTTTGTTCTTTTCTTCCCCACTCATTCCTTTTTACTTTATGGGTCAGAACCCACTCATTCCCGATACACTGCAACGCTGCTTTTCACTCTCATCCACATATCCAATGTCACTTCGGGGTAGGGCCTACCTGCCCCACGTTACCCCATGTTTATACTCCACGTGGAGTTATGGTCCCATGTGTGATATCATGTGATAATTTCCCCTAGTTTGGTACAATGCCACGCGTGCTATATGGCAATTTCTAAGAAAACATGATGATCCTGGCTAAAGCCGAACACTAACAGTATCTCCAAAGGTGTAGGGAAATGAAATAAACAAAATTATACTAAAAAACCTTATGTGGTTGCCTCCCATTTATCACATGAAAAGATGATTTAGGCTATGCAAGTCTACAATTATTATTATATTATTTATTTTTATCTTTTACATTTACTATTATATTTATAAAAAATAAGTGAGAGAATAAAGATGATATTTTATTATAAAAAGTAAGTGGGACTCGATATACTTCTTTACTTTGAAATAGGCAATATTACCTTGTTCAAGAGAGTAGGTATATTTTACCTACCCATTTACCTCTTCTCTTGGAGCATAAAAATACTAATGAGGCAAGGCAAATGAGGTTTGCCTACTCTTTTACCTCTTTCCTTTGAGATGCTCTAATGACAGAGGTAGCAATTCTAAGTAGCAAACCCTTTTGGGTTAGTTCGTCAGGGCAATGAGCTCCTCCCCCTTCATCCAAATTCAAATCTCCCTCTCTATAAATTAGATTAATTTAGTGTATAATATAACTTTTGTTAAAATAAAATAAAAAAGCAGCAAACCTTGGTATATGAAAGAAATTCACTTGTATCGTTGAGCTTTATTATATCTAAAATTTTGAAAGTATTTTATTTTTTAGAATGCAACTGAAAACATAAAAACTAAACGATAAAAGTGTCAAAGAGCATCTCCAAGGAAGATGTCAAATACCAAACATCAAATTTAAATTTGATGGTTGATGTGGCAATTTGATATTTACATAGTTTTACACTCCACCCGATATGTCAAATAAATAATTATTGTAACAGTCAAATCATTCAAGATAAAGAAGAAAAAAAATAAAAAAGGAAAATAATAAATGAAAGTAGCAGCTAGCTGTCTTTAAAAAATAATAAAATATTCATTTGACATCTTGCTTTTGGTATGTCAAAAATAACAGCTGAACCTCCAACCTTCATTCCACATCAGCTTTGACAATTCGGTTGGAGTAATGTGAGATGTTATTTCTAGCCGTTAAATGTCTATGTGGCACTTTTGACATATCGGTTGGAGATGCTCTAATAAGTCATATACAACTAGAAAAGTGACAACAACAAAGTGACTGTCGACAAAGGTGTTTAATCTTGATTTGGATAATCACGCACAAACAAACCTCGACACTTGGTTTGTCAGTTGATAAGGGCAACGAAAGACAAACGAGCGAAAATATTGGCCGGTATTTGGTAAAATACCCACAGAAATTGTCAGCTCGCTGTTGTGCAAATAGTTCAAGCGGTTAACCGCTAGGTAAAACAGACACGTTTGGGTCTAACAGTTTTTTACATTTTTGATATTTTTGCCATTAAGCTAACTTTACTCCCATCATGATTTGAGTTCGAATTAAAACAAAACAAATGCACCTTATCTGTTATATCAGCCGAAGAAAAAGACAAGAAAGATTGGTCGACTTTTAATGGTACATGTCAAAATCAATCTAATCTTCTTTTTCTCAAGTGGTTTATCTCTTCGTTTCTTTTTGAAAAAGTCTCCCAGATTTATGATAAGCATCAATTAATCAAGCATTCTTTTTTTAATTACGAGTGTCTTTTTTCTTTGACAATGTCAGATTATGATAGCCAGTATTTGCTCCTTCGTCGTCTTCGGCCAGGGTCTTTGGCAACACATGATTTAATTATTTGAAGTGCTTATCTTATCATGCTAGTGTATTTAGATACGTCGGCAATCTATATCTGACCAGTAATTAATTAATTTAGTAACTTAAACAAAAACTATTTAACCTAAATATACGGTTGACGTACACAGTTAACCTATTCAACCATATTTTTGCTCACCAATTTAATCTATTTAACCAAAATATACGGTTGACGTACACAGTTAACCTATTCAACCATATTTTTGCTCACCAATTTAATCTAAAGTGTACCCTCACCACCCTTCTCAACACTTAACACGTATCAACACTTAACCTTATAACTATAGTTAACTATTTACTTGTATTTATGCAACCATAATTATGTCAATAGACACGTATCAAATGTTGTGAATGGTGTTGAGAGTACACCTTTGTTAAAGTGGTGAGCAAAAATGCTCCATTCAACCTAAATGGTTTGACAAACAGGTTATATGGATAATGTCGTATTACCTGTGTAATGAATGGGTTCTCGAACCTCTACATTTAGCAGCAATGTATATATATGCATTTAAAGGAATCTTAACCATTTGATTAATCTTATGGCTAAGATTAAACCACATCAGCAAAATTGTATTAAGTTAAAAATTTAACCAAAATATACGGTTGACGTACACAGTTAACCTATTCAACCATATTTTTGCTCACCAATTTAATCTAAAGTGTACCCTCACCACCCTTCTCAACACTTAACACGTGTCCCTCGGCATAAGTTATAAGTATAGTTAACTATTTACTTGTATTTATGCAATCATAATTATGTCAATAGACACGTATCAAATGTTGTGAATGGTGTTGAGAGTACACCTTTGTTAAAGTGGTGAGCAAAAATGCTCCATTCAACCTAAATGGTTTGACAAACAGGTTATATGGATAATGTCGTATTACCTGTGTAATGAATGGGTTCTCGAACCTCTACATTTAGCAGCAATGTATATATATGCATTTAAAGGAATCTTAACCATTTGATTAATCTTATGGCTAAGATTAAACCACATCAGCAAAATTGTATTAAGTTAAAAACTCACCTTATGTGTTGTATCAATCACCCCCTATCATCATCAAGATCGTCCAGCAAGCATGTACTTTTGTATAATATGAATACAGTGATTTTGGTGAATAGCGGTGGACAACGGCAAGTTGGCCATTGCTAATCGCACAACCGACAATGACGGTTTTGTAGGTTCTCCTAAGATATTATTTGTTTTTCTTCAATGATTTGAATAAAATCATGTACACAATGTCCCCTCTAAGATGTGATGTTTGAAATTAATTATGTTTTAATCATGAAGGACCGTTTCAGATAAATTCTTCTATGTACTTGAGGGAATCTTCTCAAGTCCAATATCCAATTGAATATTTAAGTTAGGGGTGGGCACGGTACGGTATGGTACGGTATTGAGCCCGTACCGCTACTGATACCGGAAATTTAAATCGGTATGATACAGTATGAGATTATCGTTTGTCAAAATTCGTACCGTACCGTACCGTGCCAAATCGGTATCAGTACGGTATCGGTAACATTTCGGTACCAAAATGACACAACTAAAAAATGAACCAATTCAATATTCAACATATTCATTCACCAAAATAAGTAATGCATAAGTTACAAATTCAAAGATTCAACATATTCAAAATCCAAATCCTAATCAACATATTCAATATCCAAATCAACCAAATCAATATTTATCCATCAACAGATTCATCAAATCCAAATGGTTAAAACTCATGCCTTATGGCTTACAAACCAAAATAGTTAAAATTATGCCTTATGGCTTACAAAATTACAAACACAATCCAAACATAAATGACAAAAACAGAAAGTTATGAATAAATTAAGAGGCAAGTGAGAGGCAGCGAGAGAATGAAAATAAATAAA